ATCTCTACGCTTGTGTGCATTAGGGGACTATACTTTGCCAATTTATCATGACATTTGAGAATGTTATTTTGTTGACATTTCTTTGAGTTCTAAGTTCATGATAGTTATCTTGCGAGGGATTCACCAATACCCCATGTCATATAAGACATCATTTCACTCTTACTTGATATTTATCAACCTTATTTGATCTAAGTCAAGTATCATCCATCTTTAGGTGATTTTGTTCATCAATTAGGTGACTTTGCTTGTGTATGAAGTTTCATCTCCTTACTTTGTTACTCTAGAATCTCATCTTGAGTTAACTTAGTATACAAGTCACACATTCCATAATTCTTAAATTATACTTTCATCATTTTATCTTTACTTGATTAATTTGAATACATTTGCTTGCCTCATTTGAGTTATTCCTTTGAGATCTTTGTGTGCAACTTTCTCCACATGCTTGTGATGTTTAAATGTATGATATTATATGTCATTTTCTAGCGACCTTTATTATTTTACACCCTCTAATCATATTCCCTCTTCATATATCCCTTTGTTGTGCTTCATTTTCCTTTAGGAGTATGTTAGGGTTTGGTATTGACCAATTCTTGCTCTAATCTTTGAATGTGCTTAAGTAGTGATGCCTTAGGGATATTTATAGGTAATTTGTGTGTATTAACCTCTTGTGTTTGTTTCTGACTTCAGACTTACTTGACACATTATTCCATGTTCACTTGATCACACAATTGTTTCTACTTCACATCTTACCTTTGATTGATGCTAGTTTGTGTACTTTGGTGTTTGAACCATGTTTTCAATGACTCATTGAAATTCTTCTTGACCATGAGGTTTGTGCTAAGTGTATAATATGTCTATGTTTACCTCTTCTTCTTCACATTACCTCTTATTTTCCAATTTATTTGCTTGCTAGGATCACATGAGGACTTATGTCCATTTAGGGTTGATTATGATCCTTCCCTTGTATTCTTTTGTTGTGAATCTTTCTCAAGCATGCTTATGTGAGAATGATGAGTCCTTGATGTTTTAACTTCTTAATTGTACACTATTTCATCTCTTTCACCTCACTTCACCCACTTGTACCATTTTAGGTTAGTCACTTGACTCCTAAGTCTCCACTAGTTAGTGTATGTGTCTAATTGCTTCCTCTTTTTGATTTCTATATTCAAAATTCTTGTGCATGACCTTTAGGGATATATTTATATCACCTTTAACAACATCTTAATGCAATTTTCTTGGTAATCTTTGGTTTTCCACATACTTCAAGCACAAGTATTGTCACTTGCATACATTCCATCTCTTTCTACCAAACTTACTTGTTTGGTTAGGTGATGTTTGTTAACTTGTAACCTCTTGATGTTTTGTCATCTTTGCTTGATGTTTTATCATCTCTATCTTGATGTATTATCATCTTTTCATTATGTTTTATCATCTTCCCTCTTATTGGTTTAGGTTTCTACCTATATGCTTGCCTTATAGATGTTTTATCATCCCTCCTTCTTCTTTAAGACATGATGTTTTGTCATCTTAATGTGTGTTTGTGTGGGGTTTTATCATCCTTATCTTGATGTCTTATCATCTTTGTGTGATGTTTTATTATCCCTTCTCCTATCTTTACTTGCTTATCTAAGTAGGTATTTTCATGGTACCTTATCTAAGTAACTCATGTGATGATTGCTTGCCTTCTCTCTTATCTAAGTATGATTACTTGTTTCTTGTTCTTATCTTTTGTGAGATTGCCATGTTCCCCATATGACCTTTAGTTTCTTCTTTTCTAAGATTGGACTAAATAGACCTTAGGATGTTTACTCGTGCATGACAATATTAGATAGATCTCCCTCGTATCCCAACTTAGGACCACAAGCATGACAACTTATAGGATTGAGATCCCCTTTTGACAGTCTTTTCTCTTTTACATCAATGATAAAACTAGAATTATTTTTCTTTGTCAAACTTCTCAAAATACTTTAACTTCACAAAATTCTTTTTTTCAAGGTAAAAAACATCAACCAATGCAAACCTTTTTTTTTGTCTTTGGACTTTTTCTTTTAAAACCTTTTTTAAAAGGGACATGCTTCGCCAACACTGTTCATAAAACACATGCAACACATCACACATTTTCAGATGAAGTACGAGTTCCGTGATCTCTCATTGCAGGAAGAGGGTACGTATGCACAAAGGTTCACAACCGCGGCGGGCACAACTAATAAAAACTTTCTTTTTTGTACATAATTCATTGCATGCATTCCCTTTTCAACTTTAAGCCTTATACATAGATTTTTGACACACCCTTTAGATTAGAGAACAAGAATGGATCCCATGGGGTGTCACGGACATGAGGGGTGCTGACACTTTCCTCTCGCGTAATCGACTCTCTTATCTGATCTCTTGGTTGTAAGACCTGATTTCACCATTCAGGTTTACTCTATGTTTTCCTTTCCCTTTAGAGGGATAAAAAACATTCAATGGCGACTTCATTGTTTATTTCGATGATTTGTCCACTTGCCTCAGGATTCCAAAATAAAAAATAATAAAAGGGGAATCTCAATCCTACTTGTTGTCATGCTTGTGGACCTAAAGTTGTGATGCGAGAGAATTCTACCTAATGTTGTCATGCATGGATAGCAATCCTAATGTCTACTTAGCTCAAACTTGTCCGAGAATGAACTAAGGATCCTATGGGGAGCATGCAATCACACAATAAAATGCAAGCAAGTAAGCACAGAAAACATGAGGAGTATCCACTCACTCAAGTAGCACACACCTAACCATGATATCTTGTCATCAAGGTAGGATAAAGGGAGAGAGAATAACACCTAACTATGATATCATGTCATCAAGGTCGGATAAAGGGAAAAGAACACAACCATGATATCTTGTCATCAATGTAGGATGGGGGAAGTTCTTTACCATAGATATCTTGTCATCTAGGCAAGAAATATAAAGGAATGTAACTTGACCATATATATCATGTCATCTAGGAAAGCAATAGGAAGGGGAATCTTAACTGAGATATCAAGTCATCTGCGCAAGAAATAATGAAGGGAATGTCGACTCTTAACCAAGATATCAAGTCATCGAGGAAAGAGAAAAGCTAAAGTGAACGTCATAAGCGACTAAACACCTAACCAAGAAGTCATGTCATTGAGGTATGAGATAAAATACAATAATGAGATCACTGTCAAGCATCAATGTCATCCGACGCGAGATACAAACAAAGTGCGGGGATTTGATTGTGAATCCTTTTCCACTTGACCGACTTGAAACAAGAGCAGCATGATTCATAACATCAACGTACAACGTGAGATACAAATGACCTGGAGACTAGAAATGGTGGGGGGCCGATAACGGGCCCTCACTCCACCTTATTTGCCTTCTTTGAGGTCTTTACACAATGTCTTCTTTGAGATCTTTAAACAAACAAAATTGCCTTCGTCGAGGTCTTTAAACAAACACAAACATTGCCTCCTATAAGGACTTTAAACATAATTGTCCACCTAAAGTAGGGACTCTCAGGCATGCATCTCAAATCATACTTCTCATTGCAGGGAAATAGGGAAATAGTGTAGAATGAAAAATAGACAAGGAATATACCGAACAGATAATAATCTGTGACAATGCTCAACGAGAGTAAGAAACTCCGAATACTTCGCGCAAGATTGCATCAAAAACAAAATAGTCAAAAGTCGATTGAATACTCAGAATACAAGTCGAAGCATCAATAAAGCGCAAGTAGAATGTGTGCCAGACACATCCTAATATCGATCAATGAACCTGCATGAAATACAAATCCAGACAAACAAAATAGTATGCGCATCTCATAGAATGAGAATCAACAATCAAACGCGTTGGAAGTGTAATTGATCCATAAATATGGATTAATCGAATAACCACAAATGGATTAAACGATTGAAAGTCCTCTTGAAATCCCTTGCACAAGTTAACAATCACGTTAAAAATAACAAGGAAAACAAAACTGGAATTAAGCTATCCCATCACGATGTAATCTGAGAGTAAACCATGTAGAAATAGAATTTATATGTGCATTGGAACCACAAATGTAAACTTCGGGAAGTGGTGATGTAACACATGAAATCGATGGAAAAATCGGATTAAAAATACTGGTGTCAAAGAAATGACCGATTAAGTCCACTTGTGCATTATTCAAGAATTAAATCTCATTGTTCATTCAACATTAAAATCTGGACAGCATTGTGTTAATTCTTGAAGTGCTCGAAAAGTCGGAATAGAATCAACCGAATTTGATATCGATATCCACCGAATATGCTAACAAGCTCAATTAAGAAACAAGTTGGAATTAAATCATGGTGTACATGCGAAAACAATTTTCCAGACAGAAATATATTTACTCATGGAATGCTCAAAAAGTTGCGTTAAAATCAACGGAATTTGGTACTGGTATCAAACGATTGTGCAAACAAGTTCAAAAATACGACAAGCCGGAATTAAATCATGGTTTATGGTGTATTTGCAAATTCCTGACAGCATTGTTCATATCTTGATATTCATCAAAAATTGATTAGAAAATCAATGTTTTATTGTACCAAATCCGAAAATCAACACATGGAAACTCAAGCGGAATTTACAAATAAAATGCATCCGTGAAATCGGCATCGAAACCATAATTATGAAGCATTGAAATGAAATCAATTAACGCGTCGAAAGCGATTAAGTAAATTGAAAGTTAATTATGATTCATGATTTCAAACCATTATCAAAAGGATAACGAATCGAAATCAATTTACGATGCGTAAATCTCAATATAGATGAGCAAATGCAAATTCTGATGTATATACCTCAACAATCAATTATTATTGGTCTAAATTCAAGAGATTTAAACAATTGAACGTATAATCAGCCAATTACACATTTGTCCATAATTAAGCTTCAAGAATCAATTAATCTCACAATTCAATTCACACTTAATTCATCAATTCAACTTAATTCAATTAAGCACTTAAATCAAGAAAGTTCAAGAATTACCAATTGAAATTGGAGAAGTGTAATCGGAGGAGATAACTGGAAAACAAGAGAAGATCAGAAGAAAGATCGGAGAAGAGAGGAAGTCCGACGCAAAGGATCTTGGCGCGAATGAGGGTGTTCCGACCGAGTACATGTGAGGTGGAGGACGTCGGACCGGGAGAAATTCCAACGAGAGAAAGGCAGGCGGGTACACCGAATCGGAGGGAGGCGCTAACGGTCGGACGTGCAGAGCGGCGGTGGAGCTGCTGGTCACGAGGTGGCTGTAAGTCGCAGAGAGGGAGTTTCGATCGAAATTCTTTGAGAGAGGGAGGGGGGAGAGAAATTAAGAGCTTTTTGAGAGATTTTGTTATAATGAGTAGTGTGTGGAAAAATTTGGGGGAAAATGAATATATAGCACATGTGTAAGGGCCTTGTTTGACACATGAGAAACTCCTTATTTCTTGACAAAGTGCAGAAGTTTCAACTTATTTGCAGTGCAATCTAAGAAAAGCCCACAAGGTCATGACTTTCAGTTCAAGATCTTAACGCGAGTCCTGAAGCAAAAATGTAGATGACGAAATTTGTGACGTCGTGCTTCGAGAACCGTCTCGATACGATAAAAATTGAGTAAGTTATGAATTTTTGAATGACGAGAAACTTGCAGCCAGATTTCCATTTTTTGGATTGCGCTGGATTTTCAGCTTATTTTACCGTTCAATTTGAGAAACGAACCATAAACCAAAGCCTTCGGAGTACAATTCGAACTCGAGACCTGAAGCAAAGTTGTAGTTAACAAAATTTGTGACCTCATGATTCGATAATCGTCCCGATACGATAAAAATTGCGCAAGTTATGATTTTTACAATATCGAGAAAATAGTGAACCAACGCTCTATTTCGTTGTATAAATTCTCAGGTAATCCGCACTTTCGGAGATCTTCTGCACAAAATTTCCTTCTGAGCCCAACATATGAAATATAGGGGACATCAAGACGGGTTTTATGCCTAAAGATCCGATCCAAAATGTTGAACTGGGCGAAAGTTATGAATTTTTGAGCGCCCGAGAAATAGTGGGTCAGCACGCCGTTCTGCTGTAAAATTCTCAGGATATTTGCAAATTCGAAGATCTTCCTCAAAGAAATAGTTCTAGGTTCGAACATATGAATTGGAGGAGATACCAATACGATTCTTATGGCTGAAGAACCACTCTGAAATACTTAGCCGAACAAAAGTTACAAATTTTTGAACATCGGAGAAACAATTGACCAGTAAATCCAAATCTCAGGGTATTTGCATATTCAGGGATCTTCCTCAAAGAATTGGCTCTCGACCCGAACACATAAAATGTTGGGAATGCCAAGACGGTCCTAATGCTCATAGAACCACTCAAGAATCTTCTTCTAGCAAGAAGTTATGAATTTTGTACTTGCACCGTAACATACTGATTTTCGATCAAAACTGTCTCAAATCAACTAAAGCGCTTGATTTCATCTGCAATTTAAAGCACACTGGGGCACATGGAAGTTTGTTATGATGATGACTTGATTAGTCCCTGATGAAAGAGCTTGAGGAAATATGTGGAATGCTTTCGAACTTCAAAAACTCCGGTTTCTACTTTATTATATCAACTGACGGAACAACCATCTTCTGTAAATCTTGAGAGATGCCTTGATCCCGTAACCATAGAGCCAATGATATACATGTATGTATATAATGATGAAACATAAGCCAATTATGATTATTATGAAGAAGACAAATTTTTAGATACAACAGCTGCCCCTATTCAATAATCTTAAACCTAAGAAGCGAGAAAAAGCGACAGCTTTCGAACGTTCATGGTGGAAGAGGATTGAATACTAAAAGAATCCAAAATTTTGCACTATGGCAAAAACAGAGGTGTAACAAGTTAGTACTTGTATTTTTACAATGGTATTTAACGATCTAGATATGATTGCGGGTATTAAGGAGAAAGCAACGAAACTTAGGCTCTAGAGGATAATGCGTCGGGAATGAACTAGTTCTCAAATAGTCAAAATGAGTAGAAAATCAACCCAACATAGGACTAGTAGAGCTAAACATTGAAGATAACAATGAAAATTGTATGTGACGGGTAATACCATACTAATCTGGTCCCGATGACTGTGGACCATCGGCACGCTATTGGAACACTGGTGGAGATCGAGGAAAGGCAACAAGTAGCAAGCTCGTCCTTCAAGAAATACTACAAAGAATGTGCCAGGAATGAACTAGTACACAAACGAGGGAAAGAGCAGCGAACCCGACCCAAAAGTACTCAATAGGACAACGAACGGAATTGGATCCTAGAGCAAGGTGTGTCCGAAAGTACCCCATGATATTTCTTAATAACTTCTAGTGTGTTTATAGAGCAAACAACAATCTGCCCCTGGTCACCTCCACCTACCAAAAACTCACCACACTTGCTCAACTGAATAGTGTTGAGACATCCATTAGATTCGGAGGCAGCAAGGTGTTTTCCATTTATAGAGTACAGGTGCAAACTAAGATCATCATCAGCATAAATAACAATCTGACCATGCTGAGAGACAGGAAAGAGAATTCGGAACAGTCAGTCTGAAACAAAAAGAAACTAGAAGGTTGAAAATCACAAATTCAAATAAGATTAACAAAAAGCTCACTACAAAATGTTAAATAAAACACTTATGTCTATATTAAAAATAACAGTATTAGTAGCAATGTTTACATATAAAAACATTATCATTCAATTCATTCAACAAACAGGAACAAAACATTAGAAAAAAATTATCATAATGACTGCAAGTTTGTGGCTTAAGATGCTAGATAATTCATTAATCTTTATTGATCAGGCAAGATCACACAGAAGACCAGATTTAAGGGGCACATGCCCCTAGTGAACTCTTATCAATGCAGTGCACTCCAGTACATCAAATGGTATTTTCATTATCAGAACAGGAATCAATCTTAACCATGAAAACTACCTGCAATACAGCTCACCACATCTCTTATAATTTTAGCCTAACTCAACCCCAAAATACAGGTGCAAGAAGGCTTATGTTTTTTTAAGGACTACCTTGACCATCACTTTTAGTAGCGGTGTTGTCCATGGCGATGGCGGTGAGCCAAAATCCCGCCATACCTGCTGCTATAGTGGATTATGGCAGAAAAACCCGCAATATCGGCCGATATTTACATTGCAAGGAACCCAGAAACCACCATGTATATCCGCCATAATGGCCATGGCACCTCTATTTGATAACAGTGTTTAGTAGTTGAGCAATCCTCAATGGTTCCAAGATCCAAAAACATTAATTTCTTCACATCACTGGTATTTGTAAGGCAATTTCTGAATGTGCCCTCTATGCTTTGAAAAAGTCTGTCAGCGTGATCAAATTTACCCCTGACAAAAGAAATTACAAAAATGAACCATGATGCAATATGAGCTGAAGTAAGAAAACTGAGCTAAAAAAGGGGGAAAAGAGAGAAAATATTAAGGAATTGACAGAAAAAAAATATTTGACTTAAAGTGAAAAAAAATGTTTGTTTTAATTTGGATCAAACCAACATTTATATACCAAAATCCAAAAATACTACTATTCACAAAGGCCTTAATATCATTTCAAAGACCAATTCTCCTAAAAGCTTAAGCTTATGAATCACCCAATCATGGTTTATTGTATCCAAAATTAAGTTTTTTTCTTTTAAATCACTGGTTGATGGAGTACATACAAATAAGCACCACACTCACTATAAAAGCACTATGCAACACCAACTGTCTATTATGTTATCAGTCCAGTAATGACCTGATAACAAGTGGCATATCGGTAGGAATTTCCACCTTAATTGCATTCCGGCCCTAGTTACCTTAATTGCGGCATTTGGCTCGTCTTCATTGCAGCCCCCAACACCTTCATTGTATTGGGTTTGAAAGGATGGATTTAGTCTCCACATTCCTAAGAGATATGGTTTGTGTTGTGTTTATAAGAGGGGGAAATCCTCACCCTACAAGTCAGTTTTGTAGGGATGAGTTATGCCCGACCTAAACTCTTAGATGTTGTCAGAGCCTATCCTAGATCTATTGTTGGATTTTCACGTTTTCCATGGTATGGGCTCATTGAGGTCCAAGTGTGAGAGGGTGCTTTGGAATTTCCGTCTTAATTGCAGTCCGTCCTAGTCGCCTTAATTGCGGCATTTGACTTGCCTTCATTGCAGCCCAACACCTTCATTGGATTGGGTTTGAAGGGGTGGATTTAGTCCCATATTGCTTAGATATATGGCATGTGTTGTGTTTATAAATGAGAGTAATTTTCACCCTACAAGCCGATTTTCTTGAAATTTATCGTATATGATATTTTTCAACCGATTTAGGTAAGGCGCCACTGGTCCCTTGCAATTCATTTTGCTAATAATAACCCACAAATTGTCATAGAGATTCCACCATGTATCTTCAATTGTATCCTCACATGGTATTAGCTGGTTAAAATTTTGTGATTTTCTGAAAGAGTACACGGCCAAATTGTAAACAATGGTATTACAAGCATCAAATACTATGTTTTTCTAGTGTATGTAGTGCCATGAGGGGGAGAGCAGGGTTATCTGATTTAATACCTAGATCTTTGTACATCGGATGCAACATTGGAGAATCCATATGAAGTGTTGATGAGTTTGAAACAAACTCACAATGTTGTTGAGTTCATCACTCTTACGACATGCTGATAAGGAGATGCTGCGTGGAGCATTCATGAATGGGTTGAAGAAATCAGTGAGAGCAGAGGTACGTTTACACGACACTGTTGATTTGGGAAACACAATGAAAATGGCGAGAAAGGTTGAAAAGAAAAATCGTGGAGGGGAGTTTGTCAAGACTTGCAATTGGAATTGCCTAATGTACCGGTGATGCAGAATGGTTGGTGGGAAGGGTTAGGGAAGTCAGAAGCTGACTTCAAAGAACATGTGATGTGGGTGACTATTGAGGCCAAAAGGGTGAGATTAAAGGCGATCCCCAATTGTCAAGAATAGTAGCTTCTTTAAAGGCTATATTCAAGGAGTTTCAAAAATGTGATGACGGCTTTTTATGTGGAATTGGTTATGAAACCTTTATTCACATGAGGTGAAGGTAGAGATTGCAAGTTTGGGAGAAGTGTTGCATGAGTATGCTGCTTTATTCCAAGAAGTGGAAGTCTTACCTCCTCATGGGCGTTGTGACCATGCTAACGACATCAAAAAAGGCTCCCAGATAACTAACATCAGGACCTATAGGTATCCACACCATGGAAACCATCTATCAAGCTCACAATGATCATCTAGGATTGTGATGGAAGTTTTGAGGACCGATACTCTCAAGGTGAATGTCAAAAAAATGTTGTTTTGGCATGGTTCAATTGGAGTACTTGGGTGATATTATTTCACCACAAGGATTCACAACTAATCCTGGGAAGATTAAGGTTATGCAAGAATGGACCTTGCCAGAAAAATCTAAAGGGAAA